CTATCATATTATTCTATTTTTTACGTTTCAGCTTTTCATTGAACAAAATCTTCCATATTTACTCACATTATTAAGTTGATCACTCAACATGCAGCAAATGATAATTTTTATTGACATTTTCTTTTTGGCAGAAATTTCCATGCTTGACTAATATGGACTTTTCATATAACCAACATATCATTGAAATACCTGATGTGTCCGAACTTCAGAATCTAAGAGAATTGAGACTTGATCATTGTAGAAACCTAATTGCAGTCCATCAATCTGTTGGATTTTTGAAAAGGCTTTCTCATTTAAGTGTTTCAGAATGCACAAAACTTCAAAATTTCCTGTCCAGAATGTTTCTACCATCTCTACAAATCTTTAATCTTAACTTTTGTGAAAGCCTTGGTTACTTCCCAGAGATAATGAAAGAAATGACAAAGCCATTGAAGATTCATATGATAAATACTGCTGTTCAAGAGCTTCCAGAATCCATTAGTAAACTTACTGGGCTTGTTTCCATAGACATATCGAATAACAGGGAACTTAAATATCTACCGAGGAGCTTATTCATGTTGCCAAATGTTGATTCTTTCATAATCAAAGCATGTTCCAAACTTGGAGAATCCATCAGAAGTTTGGTGCAACACCCTTAAAAAGCCAATGTTCATCAAAAATTACGATTACTGAATTTCGAAAATGGAAACTTGTCAGATGCAGATCTTCTTGCAATTATTTGTTACTTTCCAAAATTAGAAGAATTGATTGTTTCAGAGAACAATTTTGTATCTATTCCTTCATGCATAAAGGAATGTGGTGACTTGACAAGTCTCGATTTGAATGGATGTAAGAAGCTTAAAAAAATTCCTGAACTCACTAGCTTGAGAATTCTTGATGTTCATGATTGTCTATACCTCGAAGAAATTTCAGAGTTGCCGTCTACTGTTCAGAAAGTAGATGCAAGATTTTGTTTCAAATTAACAAAAGAGACATCAGACATGTTATGGTATCAGGTATCATACTTATTTTAAATCTTTTATCAGATATGCATGTAAGATTAGATTTTTCTTAGAATAACTTGTATTTAAACTACTTTTAGTGATTGTGAAGTAAATGGATAGGATTTATTAAAATGCATAGAGAAGAGACAATTGAAACTGTTACAATGATATGACAGGTGAAGAAAGGGGTAGGAGGAATAGAAATGGTGATGCCATTTATAACAGAGATTCCAGAATGGTTTAACTTTGTGGGGGTGGGAAGGATTCCTAGTTTCTGGGTTCGTGGCAAGTTCCCTAAGATTGTTGTAGCCATGATCTTCCACTTCCAAAATGAGAGTCAAAGGGACAGATACGATGGTCGTGGCCTTGTTGATCTGCGTTTACTAATCAACGGGCGATATGCTCCTCGAAAAGGGTATCGGAACTTTAGAATTGAGGCAGAGCACATCTTGTTGTGTGATGTAGGAGTTTTGTGCAGCGAGAAGGAGTGGGTTGGCAATGCAGTTATGGAGCATGAGTGGAATCTGGTGAAGGTTTCGTATGATGCGACGTCGTCGTTGATGATAAGTGGTTGGGGAGCGTTTGTGTTTGAAGAAGGAACGAATATGGAAGATCTCCTGTTCGCCAGTCCCAATAACTTGATTGTGAACG